ATTCATCCGGCGATTAAAGTACCACCTCACGTGAAATTCATGTGGTTCTAGATCGATGCAAATTAACTTAATATCCTCTCTCTTTGTTTTGTTATGGAGAACGGCATTATTGTTAATTGTAGATTAATGTGTGCCATTCTATGAGCTATATGAGCTACAGTGATCAGGAGTAGGTACAATTGTATATTATAAGCTAGCTATAAACACATTTCGAGAAGACAAAAAATAAAGAGAAAAGCAGCGGACTATAGACTTATAGACAGCTGCAGTATGGATTCCAAGATACCTGTGTGTATATGATAGGTGGAATCAGGTATTAATTTTATAATATATATTTATAGATAACTATTGTATAAATTAGCTATTAAATTAACTATAGATAATTTAGAGTGCTATATTATTAAACTACTTGCTCTTAGTAAACTTAACTGTTAGGCCGAGTTTAGTTCCAAAATTTTTCTTAAAACTTTCAACTTTTCTATCACACCAAAACTTTTCTACACATGAATTTTCAACTTTTTTCCGTCACATTATTCTAGTTTTAACTAAACTTTCAATTTTAACGTAAACTAAACAAACGCTAGTATTTTATAATGGTGCATTCCTTTCACACGAAGTACTTGGAGTGTTACAGTGTTGTCGCATCACGCTGACTCAGCACAGTACTACTATGCATGTGGCTTTGGGATCCCCACATTGGGCAATCGAGCATATGCCACGCTAGAACGTGGTCCAAGTGACCATTTCTGGGTGCGGTAGCAAGTACGAGTATACGACTACTCTTTTCGATCAACGACAAATTAAGTTAATTAATATATTGTGATATAGAGTTCCTGTACATATTACTCTATATCCAACAAACAAGCAGTAATGAACAGGCGAATTAACGTGATGATCGCTATATGCTGCATGCACGTCTGTATCATCTAGTACTAGTAACCTAAACACCACATAATTATGTGGTCAAGTGGACAATGATCGATATACGCATCTCTCTCACGACGGAAGAATCTGTAGGTGAGCGTTAGACGTGCACGCTTGCGCTTGCACACACATTTCTCGTTTCCCACCTATCGATCACCCCGAATGACCTTCAGAATTATATATTTCGGCGCCGCGCCGTGCACTCCACGTGCCCTCGCTCTTTGACAATTTGTATAATCCACTGATCTCTTCAGTCTTCCCAGTTCTCACTGTCTGATACTTGAAGTCTTCCCAGTTCTCACTGTCTGATACTTGAAGGGTGTGTTTGAGGAGAAGGGGATTGAGGAGATTGGAAGATACACAAAAAGATGTGAGCCATTAACTCATGATTAATTGAGTATTAACTATTTTAAATTTTAAAAATGGATTAATATGATTTTTTAAAGCAACTTTCATATAGAAAATTTTTACAAAAAACACACCGTTTAGTAGTTTGAGAAGCGTGCGCGCGGAAAACGATGTGCATTCTTACTCCCTATCACCCAAACAAACACAGCCGAAGCACAGAAGCAGTAGGTTTGGCCCGGGTACCGGTAAAAACAGTAAGAAAATTTTCCAACCATATTATCCACTTCTACAAAATTAATACTCCCTCCGTTTCAAACGTTTTGACTTTTTCATGGTCAAATTGAAGTTTGACTAGGGCTGTGTTCGCGGCTAGGGAGTTTGGAACTAAACTCTCCGCACAGAAAACGGAGCGGTCCATTAACACGTGATTAATTAAGTATTAGCTTTTTTTTTTCAAAAATCAATCAATATGAGTCTTTAAGCAACTTTCGTATAGAAACCTTTTGGAAAAAAAACACCGTTTAGCAGTTTGAAAAACGTGCGTGCGGAAAAAGAGAATGGTGAGTTGGGAAAGGGGGATTCCGAACACACCCTAAGTTTACAGAAAAATATAGCAATATTTTTAACATGAAACGAAAGATCTATTAAAATATATTAAATTTTAGTTTTAATAAAAACTAGTTTGGTGTAATAGATGTTGCTAATTTTTTCTATAGGTTTGATCAAACTTAAAGTATTTTGACTAGAAAAAAGTTAAAGCGACTTATAATATGAAACCGAGGGAGTATAATAATAATATCTTTATCAGCAGGTACAGTTTCCAAATATTAGTTTTTCTACTATCTATTAGCATCACATTGAAGTTTACATTAAATAGTTAAATTCATAAATATAAAAGATTTCAACTATTTTTGTAAAAATAAAAAGAAGAGACTATTATCGATCGATCGTTTTCATCTCTAGGTTTGGGTCGCCCTAAAAGTTTTTTTTTATAATACTCTAGTTTTAGTTGAAATATCTTTTTAATAAAAGTTATCAATCAAAGTTTGTACCTTAATGCCAAAAACAACGTGTTCTTTGCGGGGTTCACAAAACCAATGGAATTCTGTAAAAACCGATTGGTTTTCGTGAAACTACTATGTCTCCGTTTGTGAAAACCGGTCGGTATTAACCGATTTTCGTATAGTATTGACTGAAAGTTATCGGCTTTTATCGGTTTTCGGTCGGATTTCAGGAAACCCATGAGGAGCTGTTTCTACTCTGAAATCAAAAAGTTACCCTGGTTCTTCTTTGTAATCGGAGCGAGGGAGTAATTTAGCAGACATACATATATTGGCATATCATATCGCACAGCATCTGCTGTCTAATTATTCGCATAGTATATTCAGTTGTACCTCCCAAGCACATTAGAAGTAAAATAACGACAAGATGCGCATTTGTTTCGTTAACAGTACGTTTCAATCTAGCTACGGAGTTCACTATTCACAGAGACGAAGAAATATAGAGTTATGATGCAGATGCAATACACGAGTCATGAGTGACGTTCATATATTCCTTTCCTTGCCTATTTTTTTCCTCTATTTTGTTCGTACCGAATTAGCAGTACTCCATGACGTTCATTAGCAGCTGCACAGCCACGTGATTCCGTGACTACTCCGCTAATTAATTAAGGCTCTGAAATTAAAGTAAAGAAGCTGCATCAAGTAGCTGTCTTACCTTCCAGCATATTTGGAACCACACAAACCGGTTCATCCGGCCGACCGATCACTTCGCCTAGTTTTGTGATCATTCGTGCTTCGGGCATTCATGCTTTCAATCATCCAAAGTTCAAATTAACATGACGACATGACATCTACGGACAGAGCAAACTTATTCATGAAATTCAATCAGACCCGTCATTATTACTCCAGGTCTGTTCATAGGGCTTTAGCTTCTAAATCTTACTCGCGTGCTTTGTTTCACCTCTTTGTTTCATTCTTTTGATCACTCTAACCCGCTAATTCATTCTCTTTTTGATAAAGCTGCAAATTTTTGATTGAGAGCTGGATCTGGAGCCCATCTCAACATGTGCATCCTATGATCTTTGGAGGAGGCCAACATCGACGCAATCAAATTCATGGCTGCAACATTCGTACGGCCGACCAAAACCACGCAATCGATCGCGTCACCAACCCCCCCAAAAGATCTCCAACAATTGTCACCCAAAGGAAAAAAAAAAGAAGGAAAAGACCCCTCCTGTCCTAATCCAACGCAAAAACAAATGAGGGAATTCCCAAATTCCAATCACACGAAAGCGTGAAGCATCATTGGATTAGACGAGGTAATCAAATTAAGCGGCAAAAACCGTTTAATAAATAGTAGTACTAAATATTCATAAAATATATAGAGAAAATCCCTTGTATACCCCTAAAATTTTAGCTAATCCCTTCTACGCCTCTGAATTTTGCTTACTTCATTATATAGTCTAAAATTTGATTTTGATCCATTCTATGCTCCTCCCGTCAGATGACCGTCTAATTTCTACAAAAATGACCATTTTATCCTTTGAATGAATATAAAAATTTATGAATTACATTATTGAAAATGTAAAAGTTTATCACATGAGACTATTATTATTATTGTTTGTTGTGCGATATATTATACTCCCCCCGTCCCAAAATATAAGGAATTTTGGCTGGATATGACGTATTACAGTACAACGAATCTAGACAGCTTTATGTCTATATTCATTGTACTATGATACGTCATATCCAAGCAAAATCCCATATATTTAGGGACGGAGGGAGTATATGATAAAATTTATTTTTAGATAATAAAATAAAACATATGTATTTGTTTTATTTGTTCAAAAGTCATAAAAATGAGGAGCATCCATACAAAGCTAGGACTATAAATGCTCACGATATTTTTTATGAATGCTCCCAATCAAAAGAAATCTATTGTCCTATTAGATTTCTCTACTATTATAAAAATTAAAGATATTTTTGCCAGTATTTTGGTACGTCATCCGTGTTTGAGTTGGTTTTAAGTTCGTTCTCTTTTGGAAATACATATTGGTGTTTGTGTCGAATTTTAAGTTCGTTTGCTTTTGAAAATACGAAAGAAGTCGTATAAGAAATCTTTTTAGAAAAACTTGCATACTAGTTTGAGATGAAAATCGGACTCCTAACTGCAGCTCATGATTATCTTAAAAATATCCAAGCAAATTCCTACAGTGAATTTCACCATAGCTAAATTGTATAATAATAATAAGATTAAAATATTATTCACTCGTTACAACGCACGGACATCTTTTCTAGTAAAATAAAAATTTTAATTTATTACATTTGTTTTATTTTTAAAATTTATGTCAAAATTTTCCGCACTAATTATTTAGTCTCATTAGTTACATAAAATGCATATACTATACACTCAAACAAAAATTTCATTATTTTTCAAACTTATTTCCAAACCTAAATCATCAAGGGCATTAAAGACATGAGCCACCAAACTTAACAGTGAAATGATAGAAAAATGTAACGGCAGGGACATGAAAAGGATCAAGCTGAAATTTTAGAGGTATATAAATATGCTCATATTTCCTTATTTGATCTCTCTGTAAATAGAAGAGTTCCCTTTCATACTTCCTATCTATCCATCTACCGAAATACAACCACGTTCTCTTATTAATGAGGGATACTTTCGTCTTTTCTCTCAATGCAAATGTGAATCCTGATAATTAAGAATAAAATTTATTTTAGAACAAAAATAGTAATAATCCATTACACCTCCCGAAATTTCGCTTGCTCGGCTGGATCCTCTGACTCTCCCAGTCTCCACGCCCACAGCCGCAACAACTGGTTAAAAAGATCCCCGCGACGCGCACGCGACGCGACGACCACCCAGCCACGCGCGACGCGCCGCAGCAGCCGCGCCCGCCATGGCGAACCCCATCATCCCGAGCAGCAGCGGCAGCGACGGGGAGGAGGCGAGGACGAAGCTCGGGCGGCTGAACGCGGCGGTGGAGCGTTCGTGGGTCGGGCGGCGGTTCAAGCTGGCGGCGCGCGGGTCGACGTTCACCACGGAGCTCCGCGCCGGGACGACCACGTTCCTCACCATGGCCTACATCCTCGCCGTCAACGCCTCCATCCTCTCCGACTCCGGCGCCACCTGCACCGCCGACGACTGCGACGCGCCGTCCCCGGCGTGCAGGTTCCCGCCCGTGGACCCCGGGTACGCCGCCTGCGTGGCCCGCGCGCGCCGCGACCTGATCGTCGCCACGGCGGCGTCGTCGGTTATCGGCTCCTTCATCATGGGCACCTTCGCCAACCTGCCCATCGCGCTCGCCCCCGGGATGGGCACCAATGCCTACTTCGCCTACACGGTCGTCGGGTTCCATGGCTCCGGCACGCTCCCCTACCGCACCGCGCTCGCCGCCGTCTTCCTCGAGGGACTCATCTTCCTCTTCATCTCCCTCGTCGGCCTGCGCTCCAAGCTCGCCAAGTTCATCCCCAAGCCCGTCCGGATATCGTCGTCGGCGGGGATCGGGCTCTTCTTGGCGTTCATCGGGCTGCAGAGCAGCGAAGGCGTGGGCCTCGTCGGGTTCAGCTCGTCGACGCTCGTCACGCTCGGCGCGTGCCCGGCGTCGCAGCGCGCGTCCGTGGCGCCGGTCGTGACGTTCCCCAATGGCACGGTGGCGCTCATGCCGGGCGGCACCGTCTCCGGCGGGATACTCTGCCTGTCCGGCCGGATGACCTCCCCGACCTTCTGGCTCGCCGTCGTCGGCTTCCTCATCATCGCCTTCTGCCTCATCAAGAACGTCAAGGGCGCCATGATCTACGGCATCCTCTTCGTCACCTTCATCTCCTGGCCGCGCAACACCGCCGTCACGGTGTTCCCGGACACGCCCGCCGGCGACGAGAGCTTCGGCTACTTCAAGAAGGTGTTCGACGTGCACCGCATCCAGTCCACCGCCGGCGCGCTCGACTTCCGGGGAGCCCGCCACGGCTACTTCTGGGAGGCGCTCTTCACGTTCCTGTACGTGGACATCCTCGACACCACGGGGGGGCTCTACTCCATGGCGAGGTTCGCCGGCTTCGTGGACGACGCGACGGGGGACTTCGAGGGGCAGTACTTCGCCTTCATGTCCGACGCGACGGCCATCGTGTTCGGGTCGCTGCTGGGGACGTCGCCGGTGACGGCGTTCATCGAGTCGTCGACGGGGATCAGGGAGGGCGGGAGGACGGGGCTGACGGCGCTCACCGCGGCGGCCTACTTCGCGGCGGCGCTGTTCGTCACGCCGCTGCTGGCGTCGATCCCGTCGTGGGCAGTTGGCCCGCCGCTGGTGCTCGTCGGCGTGATGATGATGCGCGCGGTGGCGGAGGTGGACTGGGCCGACATGAGGCAGGCCGTGCCGGCGTTCCTCACCCTGGCGCTCATGCCGCTCACCTACTCCATCGCCTACGGCCTCATCGGCGGCATCGCCTCCTACATGCTGCTCAACTCATGGGACTGGGCCTGCCACGCCGTCGCGGTGCTCCGCTCCCGGCGCCGGAGAGGGGCGCGCGCCGAGACGAGGAGCGCCGCCGCCGGAGACAATGGGGAACAGAGGAAGAACTTGGAAATGGCTTAATTAGCTTTTTTTTTTGCATAATTTCCTTTTTAAAAGATTTAGAAGGTGATTAGGATTTGCTATATATACTGGAAGATGGTTCAAAAGGCTTAGTAGGATGTTCAAGTAAAGTTATTAATCAAGTTTCAGTCCCTGAGTGCCTGTCCATTTTCGGAGGTAATATAACAAAACAATCATCATTTGAAAAAAAAAAATCGACCTTTTACAATAGATGTCGAGAACTTGTAAAAGATTTGCACATTATTCCATCGAAATAACATGGTGCGAAGGTCTAAATATACAACGAACCAAAATTTTCTGACAAGCTGATCTAAATTCATTTGTCTGTCCACTTTTAGGTGAAATAACTTGCTCGAGTGTCCATCTGTTTGTCATTTTTTTTGAAAGAACTAAAAAGAGAATGGAACTAACCCTTGTGAGCGCCTGAGCGGGCTCCTCATTTATTGATTTTTTTAATCATAAAACAAGGTTTAGAAAAAATAAACTATAATACCCTTATTAAATGAAATATAGCTAGGGTTGGAAGGGTGGTTAGGGTAAAATGAAAAAAATGAATACTAAGACATGATTAGTACTGTAGATGTTAATTATTTTGAGATAAAATTTGAATACTAATGAGACAATTATTTTAGAACGGATATAGTATTTTTAAGGAGAAAAAAATATGAAATGTTATGAGAAAAGAAAGGGCAAACGATGCCGGCGAAAGTCAAGAATTGCGTATCAAGTAAACGGGTATGACCTTACATGATGGTATCTTTAATTAAATATTGCTAACTGATGCCAACTTATGTGAATTGGCGTGATGGGAGCTTTTAAGTGGCACTATCAATCAGTCATAACATTTTGACTTGTTGACATGAACATATATACTGTAGAAAGCTACGAATTTGTATTAATTTCCTGTGGACATGAACATCTCGTGGAGTCGAAGCTAATTGTCAGATGGGCTTCTTGGAAATTTCATCCCATGCATGGATGGAGATTTGCAATAGAATACTCTCAAACTAATTACTCGTGCTAAAATCGAAAGAGCACTTGTGCCAAGGGCTTTGCATAATTGCATTTTGGGAATTTCAATTAATTAAGGATATATCCAGTGACAAGCTAAATATTAAAAACTCGTGAAAGTCATACCTAAAAGTTTCGTAAATTCATAAAAAAAATACTAGTGATAGGTGTAGATATGAAATGCATTTTCACCAAATCTCAAATTCAAACTTAATTTCATTTATGAGTAACAAAGAAGAAAAAAAAGGTGAATGGTAACAAGACACTGTTCATCTGAAATTTGTCTTTCTTTTTCTCTTAAATGAAGTTGAGTTTAGAGTTAAAGATTTTGTGAGAATGTATTTTATATCTACACCTATCTCTAATATTTTTTTCATGATTTTAAGAAACTTTTAGGTATGATTTTCACGAGTTTCTATCACTTAACTCGTTTTCACCGGATATGTCCCCATTTCAATTTAGCTGTGATATATTTTCTCCATTTCTGGTAAGCCATTTATTTTGTCCATTTTTCCTTCAATAGTTTATTTCTGCCACAGGGTTTATCTCACTGACCTTGAATTCAAACAGTGAAGGGGGAAATTAACGACTCCCTCCCTTTCATACTATAAGGCACTTTAACTTTTTTTAATTAATTTTTTAAGTGTGATTAAGTTTATTGAAAAGTATAACAATATTTTCGACATCAAACAAACATATTATCAAAATATATCAAATGTTATATTTGTATAACTAATTTGATGTTATAAAAGTTGCTATATTTTTCTATAAATTTGATTAAATTTATAAAAAAATTGACTTAAAAAATCAAAACATCTTATAATATAAATGAAAAGAATAGTTGTCACTCCATACATATGACTTTAACAAAAAAAATCTCAATAAGAGGACGACTTCAACAATTCGCCACTTTACAGATGTTAGTTAATATTTTTTCATCTAATATTTCAGTGCTGTTAATAAAACATCAATGTAGCCATTTTTCACACTACCATCTAATAGGAGGGGAAAATTGATATGAATTAATTAAAATAGGACCCATGATTAGGGGGTAAAGTGTGAAAACAAAGGCTAAGATGATGTTTTTATTTAGAGCAGTCAACCATTAGATGAGAAATAATTAATTGAGATCTCTTCCATCCCCTTCTCCTGTCGTGCACGTGCATACTTAGAAAGTAACCATCGGATTCAATGTATTAGGCCCCGTTTGGTAGGACTCTAAACTCTAGCTCCCAGCTACTAACTCCAACTCCAACTGAAGTGGGTACGAAAGTGTTTGGCTAGAGTAGTTAGCTCCACTCCACCACGTCTCTTGTAGGCATTTCGTCGAACACCTGGTTGGCGTCGCACTGCCGCCGCCATCGCCATCGCTCAGCCCGCGCGTCACCGTTGGTGGCAGCCCACGGGCCACCGCTGCTCGCCCCTGCGCCCCCGCCCGCACGCCTCCCATGCACCGCCTACCGCCGCTGGAGGGCCGCCAGCGAACCGCCACAGCCTGTGCGCCACCACGGCACGCGCGCCTGCCGCTGCCGCTGCCGTCCGCGGCTCTCACGCATCGTGCCACGCCACCACTGCTCACCACACCGTGCCACCACTGCCCACCGCCGCCAGTCGCCGCCGACGCCGACGCCGACGCCACCGCCCGTCGCTGCTGTAGGGAGGAAGATGGGGAGGAGAGAGAATTGGAGGAGATGAGGTGTGAAGGGGTACTTTAGAGGCATTTTTGTGTAAATACATTAAAAAATTAAAGGGTAGAGGGTCTTTTGGGGTGGAGTAGAGCTGTGGAGCAGCAAAAGCCCACCTCCACCCCCGTAGTACAAATTTGTGGAGTAGCTCTGCCAACTCCACTCCAAAAAATAGAAAATTTATACCGTTTGGCACAGTTCCAGCTCTAGATAAGTTGGCGTTAGGAGCTAGAGCTGTGCTAGGCCTTATTCTTAATCAACATTCTAATCTATCCTTACCATATGAGCATGACCCGTTATAATGTAGGGGTATATTACTTATCTATTAAATGGTAAATTATTAAAGTCATCTATACTCGAGCAAGAGGAAGCTCGTGTGCTGGTAGCACAGTGCACGTTATGTGCACAGCGCCATAGACCTAGCTTGAAGAATTTCCCAAAAAGAAAAAAAAATTCAAGTGATTGAGTGCTCTAAATAAGCATACAACGGAAGAAACAAGGGAATTTAAAGAAAACAATGTGTAATTCAAGTGTAGAAGGATGATATGTCCCGTACAATGGGAATTTCATTGGTATGTGGGAAATTTCATTTACAGCATTGTATGCTTATTTCTCAAGCATAGAATGAGGATAGAGGCTATCGTATGCTAGTAATGGTTGGGTCCATACATGGCTTTTTTTTTACTCGTGTGGCTCATAAACGAGTGATAAGGTTATTTGGGCGTCGTCGTTAAGATCTAAGGCTGAGTTCTTATCTATACTTTTCCAACTCACCTCCCTCATTTCCCGCGCGCACGTTTTTCTAACTACTAAATGGTGTGTGTTTTTTTAAAAAATCTAAATGAAAGTTACTTTAAAAAATCATATTAATCTATTTTTAAATTTATTTTAGTTAATACTTAATTAATCATGTATTAAACATTACTTTTGTTTTGTGTGCTACCAACCCTCACTCCCAAATACACCCTAAAGATAGTGGTCATCATGGGCTGGGCACTTGCCGCAGCCATCTGAGCAAAAGTCAGTCCACGCACTCGCAAAACTACCGCAAAATACTAGTACCTCTACTGATCATGAGCCCAATGTACAAAACATCTCGGCCTCCTCCACTAAACAAAACTCCATTGATCATTATTTCCTTACCTCATTGCCACTATAAGCACAACACTTGAGGGAGGAGAGCGACGCTGATGCCGCCTCATATAATCTCCATCCTAGAATGTAAGAAAATTATAGCAAACTGATGGTTGAGATTAAAATAGTGCGGCCGTGTCTTTACCCTTACAACGGGAAGGAATACGTGGGAAGAAACTGATGGTTTCACATGTGGTTTAGGTTAAAACTTGCTAGCTGCCAACGCTTCTTCTCCTCCTGATCTTATTATTTTCTTTTTGTTGCCTTAATCTTGCCGCCTTAGCTAATATCCATTCTAGAACGCTGGGAAATTACAGCAAACTGATGGTTGAGACTGAAACGGTGTGGCCGTGTCTTTACCTTTACAACGGGAAGGAATACGCAGGGAGAAACTGTTGGTTTCGCATGTGATTTAGGTTAAACATTGCTAACCGCCAACACTTCTACTCCACCATGATCTTATTATATTTTTCTTGTTACGTTAGATTCCCGGCCGGTGAGGATGGGTAAGTAGGGCTAAACCATTATTACTTTTGTACTTCCATAAAATCTAATTGGCAAACATGTTGTGTTCGATTCGTTATTATTTACTAGGTTATGTAGTGGTTGTCAGTGCCCAGAAGAACATGAGGCAACAATATAATAACTCTCCCTCCATGCCAATTAGGTTAGACTCTTCCAATATCTTGTCTGAATCAACCCTGGAACTGTTGAGAAGTGTAGGGTGGAGACGACAAATATTGCTTCAATGAAGCATTTTCCCTACATCGATAAGCATACAATGAAATTCACATTGTAAACATGGGGAATAAGCACACAATGGGAATATTTCTTGAACATGACAAATAATACAATAATCTATGTACGGACATTTACCCTTCCTCAATAGGCATACAATGGGAAGTGTAGGGTGGAGACGTCAAATATTGCATATCCCCTATGAGAATTGCTATGAAGGCTACTCGCCAAAGAAATAAAAACACCCATAAAGATAATTAAGCAAACATACTGATAAATTGATAATATTTAGGTTTGGTACAAATCAATCATGGTAAATTGATGTCTTAATCCTACTGGGAGTTTTCCTTTAGATAAGTATGACAAATCACAGACTCTAAAATTTCCATTCTCATGTTATTGTGGAGGATATTATCCATCCTATTATTTGTCTTCTCAACCATTTTTGTGCATCGAAATTATCATGTTATAGTGATGTGTTCTATCAAAAAAATTGCACCTCCAAATACGAGCAACACATAGAAATATTTTTATCAATCTTGCAAAAGTGGTTTATAAAAGGTAGCTCTATTATTGATAATGCCCTTGTCTTTGTATCTAATTTATTTTGAGGCCCATTCTACTTC